TATCTTTACCGAGGCTTGCTAAAGCTGGCTACGGCCCTGGGTATTTTTGTATGCCTAACTTATGTATTTTTTTTTAATGGTACAATCGTAGAAAATATAAATTGGTTTTTTATGACGTGTTCCTTGGGGGGGGGCAAACACCGGGGGTATGGGGAGTATAGAATACCCCCCAGTAAAAGGGGGGGTCCTCCACCGGAAAATGTTGCAGTTTTGAAACAAAAAGAGGGGTTTAAGCTTATTTTAATGCTCAAAAACACTTAAAAAAAAATATGAATAAAATTGATTTAAATTCAGGCAGAAAATTAATGAAATTAACAATATTATTGACAACAGACAGAAACATAATAATATGTTGCATTGTAAGTTAGTCCATCTAAGAAATGTGATCAATAGTTCCATGATGTATTAATATTATGTTTGTTATTAGATTCATGACCTATTTCTCTTGTAGAACATTTAGACCTATAGCCATGATTACAGTGTCGTATTCATAGCCTATAGCTTTAGCTTATAACAGTTTGGTTTTTAAATATTATTTAAGTAGGTACTTAAAAGCAAATCAAATTTATTATTAATAAAATAATTTGACACAAAAGTGCAAAAGGTTCTATTTAACTATATTACACTGATAGTCTACAATGTTCAAAATAAATTACGTATAATTGATGCAATGCACATGTACAATTTTAATGCTTGAATAATTCATAAAATTAAATGAAAAAGCAATGCTTCTAAACAAATCTGCATGTTTATGTATATATAAACTTGAAGTAAGTGGTTGATTGTACAGAACCAAACAGAAAAGTAAATGAATAACAAAACTACTAATTTATGTAAACTCAAAATGTGCTACTGAGACACTAAAAAAAATATTTTTGTTTCAAATTACTGTACAAGAATAGGCAGATTTTTGTCTGCCGTGCTTTTTAGGATTTGATAGAAGAAAATATTTGTTTATTAGCTAGTACAACATATCTTTTCTTCTAGCCCAGGAACCAGCTTGCCCCCCCCCCCCCCAAATGACGCCCCGGTTCCTATTAAAAATTACTCATTTTGCAAAAACTGGAATCATTGACAAACTCATTTGTTATATCTTCTGATCTAGTGTGTAAAATTGTTATTTGAGGGTTTTTAAGATTGTCAAGACACTCTTGTTTTAGAATTTTCATATTTCAAACAATCCCCACCCAAAGAACAAGTTTCAATTTGTTCTTTGCTGTGTAACAACTACCCAATAAATTGTGTATGTAGGTACTGTAGTTGCTACACCAGTGAACAGTCCAAACCCTGGTCTTGTTACTATCTAACGTCGACCTTTATTTAGATTGCATCATTAACTCATAGCCTAATGACAAATGGCATCTGAGTATGAAAACGATCGCACTTGGATTCGAACCAGCGACCTTCAGATTTGAAAGCAATCACTATAACCACTCGGCTACCCAGATAATTAAAATTAATGTTTAGTGGGGGCAACAAAAGTATGGCCATGCTCGAAGAATCCTGTACAGTGAAAAGGATAATTAAGACTACGACTTTGGTCTTCCCAGCGGGCAAGTGTCTCGTGGTTGTCTATTTGTACCTAATTCTCTTCAGTATATTTTCATCCTCACTTCTAATTACCCATTTCAATCGGCTACTTAAACTACCTCTGGATCCCTGTAGGGTAAAAGATAAAAAGCGCTTACGGGCATCATAAATAAAAAACCTCCACATTCAGTTTAAAACGATAATTTATTGAAAAATAGGAAAAGTCTTACTATTAGTTCTAACTACACAAATAAAAACTATTAGAAACAAGCTTAGCAATAACCTAAAAGTAATTTTAGAGGGGTTTGACTGCAGATTGTTTAAGCTACACAAAAAGGTAAACAAAGGAAAAGTAAAGGGAATAATGAAAGTGCATTTGCGGCACTTTTGGTACAGAACGATACATGCTAACAATCACAATAATGTCATGACTTTATTCAGAATTTTCCTAGTGGATGTTAAGAGCACCCAAAACTATTAGTACAGTATTTAAATACAAATGTGCCACAAATAAGATAATACAGTACTACCAAACAAAGCTAAATTGAAATACTGTAAGTTAAATCCTTTAACTAATTTGTTTTCTGATGTAGTACAGTAAAATACCCCCGCCGCAGCAAACCTGCAGACTAAGCGAATTTCCATTGACCTGATTGGATTTACACTAAAATGCCTCCATAAAAATAGCACATTTATTTTCTATTTAAATAGAATTAGTTTAACAAGTACCTTAGGTTTGCTGCAACAGGGAGGGTAAAAAAGATTTTTTTATAAAATGATAATAGTTTAGTAAGAAATAAAAGTATTTTCAAAATCGATCAAAATATGTTCATAAACAAGCAAACTACAACAGTTGACTTATTCTCCATAAGAATAACATGGGAATTTTAAAATTACATTTTTTTTAAATTTTCTCCGTAACAATTAGGCGCATAATAACGCTTCAATATACTAAATTATTTGTTTTTTTAAGCTCTACAAAGTGGTTTAAAAAGAAATTGTGAAATTTTGTGTTTTTAGCGGCAAAAATGGGAAAAACCTATTTTTACCCCATAAAACCCCCCATAAACCCCCGTTCCCATAGTCCGATCATGCTGGTTCGCGAACTCATTCAAGTTTATCCCGCCTTACACCTTCAAACCAAATTTTATAAAAATCGGACAAAAATTACTCAAGTTATCGTGCGGATGGACACATATATATATATATATATCTCTATATATAGATATATAAAAATTTGAACGAATGGTGTTTTTGGCCTCTGGGGACATCAAAATGAAAAAGTAAATCGGTCCCGGGCTTAGGTCTTACCATGAGACCTACGGTAATAGCTACTTCCCTATAGGGAAATTCGCTAAAACATACTTGTTTTTGGTAATTTTACAAAGTATCTATCTATATATATAATACGTGAAGCCGTTTTTTGTTAACGCAACTCCTCCCTTATTAGTGGACCAATTTCAACGTTTAAGGTGTCAAAAGATTCGTCTCAATATGTAGTTTTGCAATAAGGTTTTATAATTTTTAAATTCCTACTCCTAAGGGCGTAGGGCTCTCTCAAAGGTCGGGTTTTCTCCATAAGAAATGCATAGAACAATTTTAAAAACAAAAAACAGCTGTTTATAAAACGTAACTTATTAGCTTTTTGGGAGTAAATATTAATGTTTGTAATATTCAGTAGGTAAAACAGTTAAACAATGTTGTTGGAAGAATAGAAAATGCCTTATGTTCAAAGAAGAAATATTGAAAACGGGAGGATGAGACAATTAGTAATATGATATCTTATGCGTATGAGGAGAGTAGTAAATGAGAGGCCTGGTTTGACTGAATTCACCAACACATTCCAGACATTTCAAGTAAAAATTAAGAAGTTCCAAAAACTCATTTGCTATTAAAAGTTTAAGTTTCAATATTAGACAAAACATAAGTGAAGGAATTAGTGTTTATGTAACTTATTCAACGAGTATAGTTACGGTCAAGTTTATTTTTATTATTCAGGAGAGGCAAATAATATACGCTGTTCAAAAAGATCAAATGAAATTTGTATCCAAATCTTATAGCTACAAGAGTTATCCAACCTATTTCGACAAATGAATCCATACTTCCAAAACTTTGGGATAGGAGGAAACTCCACTGAACAACGTGAGAACGTTCTGATGTGGGGCATATAAGTTACTGTGACTGACAGACAACACGTTAAAATACGTTAACCAACTCTCGAATTGAAGCAGATCATTTACCATTCATTAGAAGTTGTCAGTTAAAACTGAGAGCAGAAATAAAGTAGGTGAACCTTGACGACGCAAATAGAGATATTTAAAATTAGTCTCTAACAAGTGTTTAAACAACTCAACTCGAATTTAAGGATAACGTTTTCCTCGGCGTTTCATACTATGCGGCTCATCGAGCCGCACGGGTTCTCTAGTAGATTCTAATACAGCAGAGAGAATAAGTTTATAACAGCTGTTTTGTAATGTCTGCTAATAACACAAATGACAAGAAATTTTAGAATATAATAAACTCTCACAGAGAACTGCAAGTCTTCCAAAGTAACAATCAAAATTTTCTAAAAGAAAATGTAAACAATGTACTTTTTTTATGAAATTAATATAGTTAAACTAGTTTACTCCAGAAAATTTACATTTATCGATTCACATAGAAATTTACACTACTTATTTAGTAAAGTAGAATTTGTCGAAGTCCTACACTAGGACTGAATATCAGCGATGATTTAAGTCACTTTTTATGTACCCTGATTTTCTCAGTTAATTCAGTTGAACATTCCCTTTAGAAAAACCAACGAAACGTCAAGGTTTTCATTTATACTACAAACAAAAATATACTTTTGATTATTTGTTGTGAAGCAAAATATAAAAAAAAACGTTGTATCCTACATTGGGGAGCGAGCTAGTCTAGTGGTAGAGAGCGGGACTTCGTACCTAAAATCCCGAGTTCAAATCCCGCCAAATCACCGAAGAATTTCTAAAAGTGATAATACCACACCCACTAGGCCTAGCCTGTAGCAATGTGAAAAACAATCACAGGATAGAGCATAGCGTCCTACGACAAAAAAACTTCCTCCTCAAGCTCAATATCTAGCACCGGTCATGAAGACAAAGCATTTATTTAACAATGGGAAACATATTTGAGGGTATTGCCACATTATAACAATTATACAATTGGATAAACTATACAATTTACAATGAAACATTTAGCCTACATCAGTTGGCACATCAATGTGGTCTATGATAGTGCAATGTTTAGATAACCAAACTACTAATATGCTCGATAAACAACAAACAACAAACTGATGATGAACGAACAAAAAACAGTTTGTATGGGAAGAAAATTCATAGCTATTACTGGCCGACTTTTTTTCTAGTACTTGCTAGGGGTTGATTTCCACAAAATTTAACCTTAACTTTTTCACCAACCTTTATTAAAACATGGCAGAAAATGTGATGCATTGATCCAAAAGAACAAATTTATTTAAAACATATTAACAAAATTTTATACTACACCTTAAAGATTTAGACATAAAACATTACGTAAACATTATATAGCCTAACTGGAAATAATTTATGAATTTCAATAGGTAGGCCTACTGTAATAGTGTAAATATATAGTTTATAAGCCTTAAATTATATAAGCTTTATGCTGTAGGTTTTAGAATGTATAAATTTTATAGTCAATGAGTAAAACTGAGACTTTTCGGGGACGGGAAGGACAGAGTTTTGCTAGATTTCCTGAAAAAGTGAACAGCCCAAGGATACAAATAAAAAAAACACAAAATATTTTTTGTATTTCTATCTTAAGACTTTTATGAGGTGAGCTAACTTAACCCTGTCCCTTTCCGAATACTTTATCAGCCACATGGCTATTCCCAAAGCAAAGAATAATATAAGTAATTAATATACTATAACAAAGACAAAAAATTAACATACAATGATAAAACGACTAGATTCAATTAATTTGGAATGCCACCATCAGACTTTCAATTCAGTATTCCAAACTAAATAAAAATTGCCAAAGCTTAAACAATAAATTTTCAAAAACTACAGAGATCATAATATTGTTTTAAGAAGTTTTTAAGTTTTCATATGACGAATGATTACATCAAAACTCAAATTGCACAAAGTGGTATCATAAATTTCAATCAAATTGCATCTTGTAACAATATCGCTCTATTTCTAACAATAAGACAAATTCTTCAGATCTAAATCTCTTACTAAACACAACAGCGCAATTTGTACCAGGAAATAACATTTAGGATTTGTTTAAAACATACATTACTAGAATAACAAGTAAAACCGAAACCTATAAACACTTCAAGAAGCAGGGTTAGTCTAGTTTGTTAAACAGCTCAGAGAATTATCAATGTATAAAGCTATTTTACATGTATATTACGATCATAAAATAAATATAGGTTAACAATCGGACAATATTTAATGTTCATGTACAAAGAGATTCCGTCGAGTTGTTTCACCTGGTGAGGGAACTTTTTACTTTCTCGAGTCGTTTCCGCAACGCTTCTACTTCGGTGTCGTCTGCGGTTATGCTTTCTCCACTTGTATCCTGTGTACAAATATTCTTGTCAGAACAGCTTTAAACTATAAATTATCTTTATACCTGAGAAATACTCTTATCATTAGTTTATTGGAATAAACACATGGTTTAGGAATACATTTAGTGTTAGCACACTCGTTAAAAATTCTTAAATATAAAACTTCAAATTCTACCGATTTAAATCCTATAAGTATTAGGTAAGATCTCATAGACGTAAAGATTTTAAGTCTCTGAACAATAATTAAGAAATTATCAACAACATACAACATTAAGAGTTATGGAATAAAATAAATATGCCAAATTTGATGAAAATACATACGTTTTTAAACAAGTAAACCACAACAGTTGACTTTTTTCTGTAAGAATAACATGGAGATTTCAAAATTTCTCCAGGTCTTTAATCCTACAACAACGCTTCATTGTACAAAAATTATTTGTTTTTAAGCTCTACACGATGGTTGTAATGAAAATCAGCCATTTTTATGTTTTAAGAACTTTATAAGAATCTTCAAGTGAACCTTTGTAATAACCTTTTTTTAAATTTCTAAACCCCACAACACTCTATTTTGATGACCCGATCTCACTGTTTCACAAACTCATACAGCACTTAACATTCATGCAAATAAAATCAAAATTACTCAAGTAGCCTAATCAGGTTCAAGGACATAAAATGAATAAGTAAATCGGTCCCGGGTCAAGGTCTTTCTGTGCCACCCACGGAACTTAACCTACTTCTTCACTACTAAGAGAAATTTATTTAGCAAAAAAAGTTAATTTTTACAAAATTCCACCGGCAACTTTAAGAAAGTTTTTATATTGTCAACTCACCTAGCTACCTATCTTATAGTATTATATCACATAATAACAATTTATAAGAAACACAAAAATATTTAAAGAATATTGACACGGTGGTAGAGGGTAGAGTATAATTACTGACCAGCTGAGATTGACGGATAGGTAGCGGCTCCAGGTCTAGGTCCTGCCGCGAAGGTGAGAGAGGCGTGGCGGACGGACGAGTAGCGGCTGGAGGAGCGTTGTTCCAGCCGGCCTTGGCCTGCCACACCCTCAGTCGCTGGAGGTACGCCCCCGAGTCCTGCAAATAATACACCTTGTGAGAAAACGCACGGTGAAGAGTGGTAAACAGTTGATTTCTTTACTCTTTTCAAAGGAACCAACGCCTATTCAACTCGCATAAGAAAGTAGTTGCAGGCAATCGCTATTACATGAAAAATTCGTAAAACATATTACGCACCTACAACGGGACTATTAGAATTGATAACACGGATATAATAGCGTACAAAACTAAAAACACAGCCTAGTTTCTGAAGTTAAAACTTAGTTTGAGTTTAATAGACTAACATGTTACGAGGTTTTTCTGCAATACGTAAAAAATATTAAACAATATTACAGTGTGTTTAAAATATTGTATGTTTTATGTGTCTAGTGTCTTATATTTGTTTGGCCTACCTGAACTTATTCATGGGTAAGCTAGATGCTATCCTATCCTATCTATATATTAATAGGGAAGCATGTTTATTTAAATCCTTTTTTACTCAGCTTGTGTGCCTCGCAGGAAAAATCTACGCATACTTTTAGAAAGAAATTTTCCTGTGCAGAATCCCTTTATAAATTAAAATAGGCTCAAAAATAAGCACAAAAAAATGAATTAAAATCTTAAAAAATTAACATGGGCCTTATGGGTTGCCATGCTGGTGACGAAATAACAACAAAATGTAAACAAAAAATCTAAACAAATGGAAGAAATCCCAATCACATTTTATATTTACAGAGTTGGGTGAAACGTAGAGAAGACATATTTTTGGCCGAGTTTTCGACCATTGGACAACCTCTAGTTTATATTATTCTTAGGTAAGTTAGTAAAAGACCTAGTAATGTTTCATCCTGCTCTCCCATCCAAAAACTTAGATCTAGAAGGGATGTTCGTACCTTATCGTCCACCTCCACTTTCCCCGTCTCCTTGTCCACCCCGGCCAGTCTCCTATCCGCATCTATACTCTTCAGACCACGCTCTATGTAGTCTTGGAAGAACTGCGAGGACTTCTGTAGGAAAGGATTGATGTCCGCATCCGGGTACTGCTGTTTAAATTCATACAGCATGCGGATACCCTGAAAATTACATTCTAATCAGTCTATGATAACATGCGTAAACCCTCTATAGACAAGCGTTATATCAGTATTAAAATTCTTTGTTTTCCCAGAAGTGCAATTTTTAATAATTTTCAATGGTAATTGTTACATGTTTTGGTGTGGCATTGTCAAACGCTTCAGGAAAGACATTTATTCTGCTCGAATTGCTTCGTTAATGTGCAAAAAGCATACAATGAAACACACAATAAAGATATTTTTTTTTGTCCTAGGACGCTAGGCACGAGCCCGGAATTGTTTTTCACATTACTTCAGGCTAGACCTAGGGCTTACGGCATTATTACTTAGATAAAATCCATTGGTGATTTGGCGGGATTTGAACTCCGTATTTCAGTTTTAAATTAATTTTGATTTAGTTTACCACCTTGTGTAAACAAATGCTCTCACCTCGTTGGTTTCGTCCTTGGTGCCGATCTTGCGGAAGATCTCGCTGAGGAGGTCGTGGGAGTTCTTGGACATCCGTTTACCCTTGTGGCTGTCCCGATTGTCTGGCTGGCTGTCCACCATCACAGGCTCCACCTTCCGGTCGTCGTTGGTGCACTTAAGGTGCTGCGGGAATGCATTAGTTAATTACCACAGTGCTTTGGGGAGAAATATGAGAAATATAATATGCAAGGCTGGCAATTAAGTGTTTACGGTATGAGCATGATAATCCCTTCCCATATAAGTCACTTACGACTACTTCAACAGTTTGCAAAACTCCCCAAAAAAATCTAGAAGCGTTTTTGTTCAAAATTTGTGCAATGTGCCTACCTAAACCTATATAATGTTTACAGTATAGTTTTGTTGAGAGCATTTTGAAGAAACTCGTGCTATGAACTTTAAAATGTGCACCGTAAGGAAGCTCGGTAGATTTAGCGGATTCCACTAGATTTTACTGATCATATGTAAACCATTTTCGGTCTACAAAAAGACAAGAACCAGACACTTATTTAGGTATTTATTGAATTAAATTCAGTACATTGTCACTTACTGCGTAGTGTTGATGTTATATTGAGTACAATCACTTAATACATAACAAAATGACTTTAGCCTTACAAAATCACTAACGCTGCCAAACTTGAGCTTCTATTCAGTTAATGTTTTGTGTTAACCTTGAGTAGTTTTTGCACGTATGTCCACAGCTCCGAGTCCGGTGTGACTCCTCGTACATTCCTGACGATCTCGCCGATGACAGGTCCTTTTACTTTCACAATTGTGTGCATGATGGTCTTGATAGTCCTCAGCGGAGTGTCGCTTGGCTGTTTCTTCCACCAGGACGATGGGTAATCCTGGACAATCGGAAAAGGATAGATTAGACAAGAAAACAATTGGAAAATTAAAAGTTCTTGCATTAGACCACTGCCCCTAAAAAAAACCAACTTTAGGCAAATTACCGATCTTCCTGTAAATAAATGCCTCCCTATTTTTGGATACAGTTTAACACAGCAATAAACTACAATACTGCGCAAGCTACAGAATTGCTCTATAGGATTCGTATATAACCTTAGAAAATATGACATCTCAAGTATCTGATGTAATCACTGTCGAAAAGAGCTGTGTTAAACAAGTTGCATTTTTGCTTGAAAATAACTGTTCACTGAAGCACAACAGCATTATTAAATAGCTAAAAGCGGTTGTTGAATGTTAAAAACATAACATTTAATTCGTAATATAATCAAAAATTTACTACAAAACGTCTTGGTATTTTCTTTTTTTAGAATGGTATGCTTACTTAATGGGAAAGAGGACAATCTGGCATTAAAGACAAACAGCTTTAACACTATATGCAAAAAAATAGAATATTTCACAGAATTTTCAACCAGCATTTTTTCTTCACTCTCTCCACAACTAATACCTATCTTGCTTAGAAATTATGGCAATGACAGGTAAACATTCCACTTTTTTTGTGTGTGTAGGTTTTACGTTTCTTGTGCCATGCCGGGCTTTCTCTTGTTCAGGTAAGCTCGCTATCCTTACAAAGAATCCTTAAAAAACCTATATGATTAAGCTGAAAAATCTCGTCTATAACTGACCCTGAGAAAAGCGTGAATGTCTGTAAAGATGAGGTCGTACTGCAGCTCATCGGCCCAGCTGTCGATGAACTTGATGACTTTCCAAATACACTTCATCAGCAACTCTTGATAGTGTGTGCTGAACACCGGGTTGTTCACCGTGTCGTAAAGGTTCTTGATAAGAGCACTGCGGAAAACATGGGAATGTTATGGAATGAATATTTCTTAAAGAGTCCTTGGAGCCTAGACATTCTAACTCGTAAAACAATAAAAAAAAAACTACTTTAAAATTTCTAAACCCACAGTTTACTAGATATTTAAAATATAATCACTTTGGTGTTTGAAAAAATATTTTTGACGATAAATAACTCTTCGGCAGAACGGTTTGAAATCATCCAAGATGGCCGCTAGCCTCCAAGAACTCTTAAGAGATCAGTAAACAGCAACTATCGTAGTCAATGTTAAAACTGAATTTTAATTCCGCTGAATCTCAAAGAAAAAACTAGCGTTTGGCTTGTACAATTGGATACCAATCACAGGTTTTGAAGAATCTAAGCTGTAACACCAGCTGTCATTTGCACATGGTATTACAATAATTTTTTAAAAGAGTAAATGTAATGAAATTTGATTAGATATTTTCCAAAGTTCCAAAGGGAAGTTATTGGAAAATAAGGATAGTTTTGTACTTAATTTGAATGATTTAGGGATTTTCTTTTTATTGGGGTGTTGCCACTATCACAAGGGATACGCACGGATGTGTCCAGATGATCACGGGAGGCGGTAGTTAGTAGTTAGTTTAGAAAATCAATTATACGTTTCAAACGTGATTCACAAGAAAGTAAATGATACTAGAATATTTTTTAAGTAAAATGTCTTTCTGATTTCATAGCTGTAGCTTAGTTTCCCTTTTATATTGTTTCATTGTACAGATTGTGGATTCAGTTTAAATGAAATTTTTATGGTTTTTCTAGATTTGCAAAGATTTTTTTTTTATTCTTACACTATTAGAGAATAGAGACACATGAATTAAAACAAATATTTAATAAACTTTATACAGTTTAAGACAATTAGTTTCAAAGATATGCATCATGTTTATTATTGTTTTAACACCGGTTAGGTAAACCTTTGATCAACCGTGATTAGCAAAGAGTGTTAAAACAGATTTAATTTTAGAGTCTATCTGGACTTGACCTCACACTAAGGACACAATCGGAACAACTGATAAATTCTGATTGAATAATTCAGTTTTGAGTTCTGCAAAAACATATTTTGACGGAACTTCTTCAAAAACGATATTGACTCTAGCGAAGGAGACTCACCATATGACGGCAGTATGCTCAGACTTGTCCAGCACTCGGATGATGACGTTGTTCACGACCCTCACAAACATGTCCGTGCCAGGGTCCAGAAACTCCAGCCTCTTCTCAGTCAGCAACATGATCAACGTCCTCAGCGCCTCCCGCACCGTAGACTCCCTCACGTTACGGCTCAGCTCTGAATGGTTGTTGAGAAACTGGAACAAAAACCATTTGCAAGTAAGAATAAAAGCCATTCACTTAACAAAACCTCCAAAGGCTCCAACGTATGTGAAACCAAAAACATAATTAAATTTTTAAATTACATGCTTTTATGCGAGGTATTATTCATTTGTAATAATTTTTCTGGGCCTCACTCACCTTTATTATTGTCTAGTGAAGTCTAGGACTCGTCATAAGACACACACACACACACACATACTGTACATGCATCACAAGCAATCGTCCTGGAGATACCGACGTTTTGCAAACATCTTGCTTATTCAGGGTGAAAAACTAAATTTTTGTCCCTCTTGCGGGTCAAACGCCTAACAACAAATGCCGGATCAGTTTAACTTGAATGATGGTTAGAGACGGGAGTGGGTTCACTTTTTATTGTAGATAAGTCATTCACGTTTCTGGCCTTATTTAAAAATTGCTCTAGCTCTTCTTTAAGCACCACTTGTAAATAAACTTTTAAATAACCCTGAAGAAGCAGGAGGTTTTTTAGGTTCCGTGAAACGTTGGACTTGAACTCCACGACGATTGGGTGTGATATGTATATGTGTGTGTCTTATGAGTCCTGGATATCAAGAGTAATTACCTTGAGGAAGAGCGCCAGATTGCGTTTGTAGCAGTTGACGACCTCTGGATGGTTGGATTGGTTTAGGAACTCCAGCTGCCTGACCAGCTGATTCACCAGAAGATCCTCGTGTTGGTACAACTGCGTGTGCTACAATCATACCAACACGTTAGAAAAATGACAAAAAATTACATTATATGTAATGTGGGCTAATAAGGGAAATTTGTGACTGGACCAATGGAACAATGTGTTGAGTATGGTTCAATGTATTGTGCCTAAAGGAGAAATTGGCAGCACCAAAAGTACAAAATAATTAATTCAGTTTGAGGTTAAGGGTGTAGCATAGAGCACAAGGGCCTAGATTTTTTTTTAGGATTTTTTGAGAGGATAGCAGGTGTAAAGTTTTGTTTTGTGTTTCCTGTGCCAGTTTGGACTCTTTCCCATTCAGGTAAGCCTGCTATCCTCTCAAAAAATCCTAAAAAATAATTAATTCGTGCATTGGGCACAATGACAAATTGAATAAGATTTTGCATAGAATGCAGAGGAGATTCTTTATATTAAAATGATTACAAAGTGTAGGTTCTGTCTGAACTTAGAATTACTTGTAGCACAAAGGTCGAAAGTGTCATAATGTCCAAAATGTTATAAGGTCCAAAGAGTTGAATCTTGCTTGCAGTTTTTAAACTGACCTGGTCACTTATGAGTAGAGACTCTATGTGAGCCAGGGCGTCCAGAGCTCTGTCAAGGTCCCTGTTGCCTATCTGCGTCAGATGCCACTCCAGTGTCATACTGTTGGGCATTCTAGACAACGGAGACATGCTGAGACTGTGATCTAACTTTGGGGCCGGGTTGATGCTGTGGAAATAAAACAACGGATTAACACACAGGTATCTTACGTAATTCATAGAGGGATACGAGAAGAGAAATGTTAGTTAAATCTCATAACTGGAGAAATTGAATAGGAGAAATTACTCTCAAATTTATTCTATGAAGAAATCCTTTATTATGTAGGGGTCTGCATGCCAGACTTTTTTTTATGCTACTTATAGTTGAGTCAAAAAATTTTGCCCTCAGGTCTCGAACAATAATAAGGTGGCAATGAAAAGTATTAATACCAATCACAGAGAAAAACCAGCAAAACTGTGAACCCACAGAACTGCGAAACTGTATTCTAGAGTTGAAGTGAAACTGAGTTTGCCTAACGAGGCCACAACCAAATTAAGAACGTTTTTTAAGCGGCCATGGCAACACAGTCATTGTCTCTCACGATTGTGGAAAAAACATAAACATCATCAGCGAGTGCAGAGAAATCATAAATTTTGTACCATCTTCGCAAACGCTTTCTGCGGACACAAAACAAAAAGTTATGATCTGCGTGACTATACCGAATTTTGCCCAAAATTTGCCTGACCCTCGACCCGAAAATATCGAGGATCTGCCTCTAGAAGACAAAACATCAGTATTAAGATTTTGTTACATTTTACCTGTTTCTATAATCCCCAGGACCCTAATTTTCTCAAGTTATCTACCTGAACCCTCATCCTTTTCAGAAAAAAATTAATTGAAAAAATTGTCTAAGATTTGAAAACATGAGAAAGAAAAACTTACATAGTGCTGGGCTCCCTGAGGAAGTGAAGGTCGAACTCTATCAGCTTCGGCTGAGTGCAGACGACGGGTTGTGTTTCTATGTCTTGTAGTAGCGCCTGGTCAAGTCCGTAAGGTCCCGACACTGGACGAGGCCTGAGAATAGTGTAAACTGGTGATTTGGACTTGGAAAATATGTGTAGTTTCCATGACAACAGATTCAATTTTAAAATATTTTGTATTTTAATAAGTTGTTATAAAACCTCATAGTGCTTTGGCTCTTTACCCAATGCCATACTCAAGTAGTAAGAGGCGAATTGAACCAATATTACAAGATCTGGGGAAAAATCATGTATTACTACAGTAGACTCCCTCTTATCCGGACTCCTCGGGATCAAGGCCAGTCCGGATAACGGGCTTTGCGGTTAAACCGACGTCCCCAAAACTTGTTAAAACTGACCGTTTACTGTGATATTTGACTTAAATTTCTAGGAGAGCATTGTATTTAGACACGTGATAACTGGTCTCAAATCTTTCCCACGAGAACAGTCGTTTCAGTACCACCCACTTCCTGCCGATCTAGTCTGGTTAAACCCATGTCCGGTTAATGGTGTCTGGATAAGAGGGAGTCTACTGTAGTTTTTAATGAGCTTAAGAAATGTTTACATGGATAATAGTATTAAATTGATGATGCTGTTATTTGTATAGTTTAGGTTTATTAAACAAGTCCCAGTATAAGAAATAGTTACTTAAATTGCTCTTATTGGCAATATTTATACCATACAAATACTAAATATTTTTAAATTCTAGTAAGTAGGCTACTTAACAATTCATGACTAAAATAGACACTAAAAATTAGAACTATTAACATGTACAAAACACTATAGTTGAATATTTATTAACAGGGACCCAGTCATTATTTTCTGTTAATTTTAAAAGTTCACAAGATGAAGGAGTGATTTCCAAAAATGTGTTAACAATTGAACAATATTACTGCTACATTTAATTCACAATTATAATACCAGAACCATAATGAGTGACAATAAATAAAATCAAAACTCAAATTGAAGACTTATTTGCATAATAATAAAGCTGAGTAAAAAAAAAATATATATAAAATAAAATAATAAAACTAAACTATATAAAACAGAATTGGAAAGAGTCCAGAAAATTGAAATTGTTATGTAAAATTATTAAAGAGTACAATTTTTTTATTTATTGTGCTTAGGTGGACTGTTTCCGATTCATTTAAGCCTATCCTTGCTGAAATCCTTAAAACCTTCCTTACACTTAGTATAACACAGTAGATTAGTGTAATTACTTACACAAGTAATTAATACACATGGCTAACACCACCGATAACCAAACCGTAAACATTTAAAGGTTAACCACACAAACATAACCGTACGGTTAAACATTAACCACATCGACTTTGCCCCCACCGACTACTCACTCCTCGACATCAACACCGTTGTAATCGTATCCGTTCTCAGTTACGGTACCGTTCTCTTCGTGAATGTTCATCAGTTCGTAGCTGTCGTGAATCTTGTAATGGTGCCTCTGGTCCTGAGAATTCTCGAAACTCGGGTATTCCTCGTAATCTTGCGGTTCCGTAGCCACCGAGGGAGAGAACCGACTCACAACGACTGTAGGTGGACTAAGCAAGCAGGGTAAAGCACATGCGGTTACAGAGCAAGCAATATAAGTAAAAAATACTTTTCAATACTTACTTCTCTGTTCAACTACTAAAGAAAATATTTATAAAAAGAAAATAGAAATGAGATTCATGAATCATAGATTTTGATTCTAAAACTAACACAAAATTTAACATGGGAAAATTTAATCTGTTCGCAACAGATTAGGCTATTAGATTGTAAAACGCAGAAACACTGCAATACTGTTGAAATAAATAAAAATAGTTGTCTACAAAACAGAGAGCATGGCAGGATACATAATCTACCACTGTGGCTGTATTTACCTCTGGATAGTTGGTAGTGGCGGAGGAAGGACTTCTTCTTCCTCCTCCTCAGGCTCATCGTACGCAGGCGCAGGTGAAGGCTCCCTGGGAGGTGCTCTGGCTGGCGGGGCCTGCGGTAGTGGCTTCACGTTAGCCACCGGACGATTCTTTGACGCTCGTTTGATGCGCTCCTCCAGTAGTGACATTTCCTTGTCCGATATCTGCAAAGAATCGTACAAAAATATTTCAAACCATAAACATAACAGAAACTTTTTATTTTAACAGAAGAAAGTATTTATTTATATGTTGTGCTTTAATGTATGTGTTGTGTATTACTATCAAAGCTACTGAAGTGAATTTAATATATTTCCTGAACTGATGTGTTTGACGATGGAATGTCGCTGAAATATGTTGATGGTTACTACACTAGTCAATATTGCAGTTTTGGCACTATCATGAAGAATATTGAAAGGAAACTCAACTTTGTTGGGTAAACCGGATTGTAAAACTGTGAGTATCAAATTAAAATCATTAACTTCTCATGTTACCACAGAGGAGTAAGGAACAGTGTACACTCCGTGGTACACTTAAGTGGTGTGTAGCACTAGAGCTTGTGCAACGCTCCTGGTGGAGGACGACCCTGCACCCTGTGCGATAGGAATTTCCGCACAGTGCTCACCGTTCGGGCTCTTCCTTGCTCGTCACAGGATATTCGCACGATTGTCCTATGAGTGTATTTCCTCTGAAACTTACTTCTCTGTGACGTTGCAGAATCAAATTAGTATTCTACACCAAGTAGTGTACTAATAATTTTCTATCTATAAAAGCACAAAACTGTTCCTTACATGTCCCACCATCTTGAGTGCCCTCTCGTCGTAGTAGTAAGCAGTCACGATGCAATTAAGCGCAGCACTGCGCACGGAGTTGTCTCTGTCAGAGATCTGCTTAGCGATCTCCTTGAGTGCGACAGACGCGCTTGGCACACAAGCAGACAATCCGTTCTGGTCTATCATCAAGCTGATGTGCTCCAAACACTCTGCAACATGTCAATCTGTCAGTGTTGCCAACATTAAACAAGTATTAGCTTCACTATTGAGTAAATTTTAATTGTGTTGTGAGTATAGATAAACTTCATCTTTATCAAAAACTCATCATTTTCATGAAAATTTTTTTGAAAAGGAATATAGTTCAGCTTTTGATTACCATTAATGACGGAACCTGTCTCCCGTACCCTCCATCTATCTGGGGACTCACAAAAGGTTTAAGGACCCAGACAGGTTCCATCATACAGTCTATATCTGCATTGTGTGCAATTCATTAGGAAGCTATTTTACATAGTTAACATCTACTGACCAGCTCTCTGCCTTGCGTTCTTGGAGCGTATTCCCTCCATGAGGTACGGGAACAGCTTCTGCACAGTGGACAGTTGCCACATCTGACGGAGAATGATCTTGACGCTGTTACGAACTGCGTCCTTCGGGTCTCCAATCTGCAAACAGTTATAATATGAGAGTCATAATCTGTAAACAAACCAACAGAAAATTGTGTTGATGTAATCCTAAATGTATCTTCACCTCTCAAAAAATAAATAAAGACTTAGTTGAATAGTCCAACACCACACAGAAAAGGCCTATACCCTTACAAAAAAAGGAACCATACTTTCCTCAAAATCGGAGTTATCGCAAAACAAATTGTGTTTTTGGCCTTTGAGGACATCAAATGAAAAAGTAAATTGGTCCCGGTTCCAAAACTTACCTTGCCACTTAATAGCTAGAGTAGTTACTTTCCTATAGGGAAATTCCTTAAAAGAGGTGTTTTACTAAATACAATCAGTATTACACAATCTATCTAGCAACTGAAAGTAGCAGTTTTTTGGGTAAGTGAGTACATTGCATTTTCAACTATCAAAGCAAGCGGTTATCCAAGGTCTTTTTAGGTCTAAATATTTTTTTTGTAAAAGAAATATTTTATTATTTCTGTATGTTTTTGTTTCAGTAAATACAAAATTGCAATTAATTTGTGTTTTTTTTTCAAATAAATACATGAAATCAGAAATCAGAAACTTTTTATTGCCGTAATTTGCAAGGTACATGCATATGACAAAGTCAACAACAAATGAGGTTCAAGTTTAACCAAGAAAATAAAACTAGATAATGAAACACATGTACATGATCACAAGTATTATTTTAACTTACGAAAGATCTGCAAAACCTATAAAATTAAAATCACCAATAACTAGATTGGCTGCCAACTGTTGACAAGCTGGACGAACCATCGAGCACAAAATATGTGCACGGTGGGACGAGCTGTCTGCACAACATAAAAAATAGCAGAGGCAATACCAGCTCGCAATGCCTTTTGTCAGTCTGATATTACGATGTTTTGACACTAACGTGATAGTGTCAAGTATAGCTCTGACCAAACTCAAACAAAAAGTAATTTTATAGTTTTCATACGAGAAAAATCCACCTCTTTGTGTTTTACTAAAAAAATATGTTAAGTGTGTTGGTTGAGCAGGATCCACGGCCAATCGAGAGTGTAATGTAAGTATGAAGTAATGTCCCATAAACCTCCCTTCCCCAATTCCTAGGGATGCAAGATACAATTTATCTCTAGTGTTGCAAAATCTCACCTTGATAAGCAGATACGGTACAAACGACGAGACCTCGTTGTCGATCATGCTGTACCCGTCGTTGTACAGGTTGACAAACAGTAGTTGTAGATACTCCAGACCTCGCAAGATCACCGAGGGGTTTGTGTCGAAGAACCGGATGGTCAACCACTTGAGGATCAAGTCCAGGTTGGCTCTCTGCGCTTCCAAGTTGGCCGACAAGTCCTGCGGAACAAATTTGATAGAGACTCGTTGAAGTTAAGATAGAAAAAATTTGTCTTTTGTTTGAAGTTAATTTTTAGTCATAGTATTGATGAATTAATGTTGTTAAACCAGGGATTATTGAATAAATTTTCAATCAAGATTTGTAAAATAAAACAGAAACAATTTACGAGGTTTAGAGTTTCAAACCAGACAAGAAATACATTTTTCCTTTAGGATTTTCACGCTTTGGATGTGTTTGTGTACTATAGTCCGTTCACAAAATTTAGGCGGTTTCAGGAGAAGTTCCCCCACCACTTTTTTTTTTCTTTATATATATGTTGCAGCTGAATGATGTTTGACATATCTCAGCTGTTTGAGCTATGTTTTAATGATAGGATGAAGGGAGTTAGATATGGGCAGGGTTAGATTTCTTCCCCCTAAAATTGTCTACTTTTTGTGAACGGAGTAAATCTTATTATGCAAAGTGCTTTAATATTTAGGTAGTAAAGATTACCTAATGTTATTCTAATGTGTCCTTTCACTCTTCTTTTCAACCTTCCATCTAACTTTTTTCACCTTAACCATCGTCTATCAACATGAGAATCTTCCATTTGATACTTCAATCTTTCTTTCCACCTTCTCATTCTTGTACTTCGAAAGAGCATATCTTAACGATCATTGCAAGAGTCATAAAGAATTTTGGTGAAGATTATTTTGTTATATGATTAGTTTGCAATAATTTTGATTATGTGCACTCACATTTTTTCTTAAGTCAACAAGTCCGCCCACTCGTTGCATAGTACTTAGGCCATAAACGCAATTGATTATTTTGAGCTGAGCAAAAGACCACAAACATTCGACCTGACAAATTATGACAACTCAAGTCTTTCGGATCGAGAAGAGTCAATTGTCAATTTTGCCACTTACCTCGCTGAGCATGTCGATCGCTCGCAGATGATACTTGAAGTCCACATGGAACATGTTAGTTATGAGTCCTTTGTTGACCCCCGCAGCGAGCATCTGGTCCTTCAACAGCTCCACAAACTCCTCCCTCGGAGTGGTGAAGTTCCACTTGAGCGTCTGTCAAAGACAATTATTGTAACACTGATTTGACATTTCAGAAGAATGTTCACATTTTTAAATTCAGAACTTTTCTGTTAATTCCCTACCACTACAGTTTTTGATTTATTGGAAAGATTGAAATGTCAATCAATTCTTTATAGGCTATTTTATGTTTGGTTGGGTTAGGTGATGTTGTCACCGAGATATAACTAAAAGCTCCAATTGGATATTGTCACATAAAAATTACATAAGCATTAGCGAAAAATGTATGAAAATGAATGATGAGTAACAATCTCTAAATCTAATTTTCCTTGTTATATAAGAGTGGTCCATTATTTTTGTCAGGACTGGTAAAGGGACTTAAGGGTATCATCAGTGAAGTGAATAACACTTTATTAACGTCACAATTTTTCATTACTGGTTTAGTGAATGTTGTCAAAACATGGATACAACACAAAAAGAATGACATAAAAAATTGACATGTTGGAAATATTCAGCAGAAACTAATGGTGTTGCTGACCATGAATGGTAATGAAGTTTAGTTGTGCTTCAGTATAAAATTATTTTTCTTCCCATAGTTACTGGCAAAGACTTTTACATGGGAATTGGATGTTTAGTTCCATTACTAATCAAAGTTCCTTTCATTAATACCTTGAGTTTCTGTTCGTCTAGCGCCCGCTGATTCTTCAGTCCGTTGTTGACCATGAGAGGGGAAGTGTCTTCCTCCGTCTCCTTCTTGCGCCCCGTTGGCTTGGCCACAGCAGACGCAGCCCCCGCCTGATAACATCACAACATCACTTACAACTTTAATATTAACTGACATACCAATCAAAATAAACTAGCTATGTTGAAGTACAAATCCCACTGGCTAAAATCATTTGACACAAAAAACTGTGAGGAAAGGCAAAAATTTATAAAATGAGGAAAGAAATTGTTTAATCTCTGGTGTGTAAACATTTAGGCCTACACGTCAATGAAGCACACCTAAAAGATTATTTCTTAGTGCATACATACGTTTTTCACTCCAAAAAAAAGGGATATATCTGCAACTCAGAGTCCCCATACGGGGATTTTTATCTCAAAAACAGGGATTTTACACTATGTTAGGGATATAAAAGAGATTTGCGGCTGTGATTATTTATTTTAGCACAGAATTATGGCTAGGTTTAAAAAAACTATTTGACATGATACGTCAAAGAGATTACTCGGGAGTCGGGATGGAACAGAAATCTTCATGTGGGTAAAAAAGAGTTATTCATTTATTTTAAGGCAGGATAAAATGGAATTTTCTGAACACTTAATTAAATTTTGGTCTTACTCATGTAGAAACTCTACCACTAATTGTCTGTGTCTATAAAAATGGTGGAAACACGTAACCAGAACAGAGTTTTACAACAATAAAACTGGCTCCGTTATTTTTATTGGACAGTGTTTTATTTTAAATACCCCCGCCGCAGCAAACCTACCGACTAAGCGAATTTCCATTTGTCTGAATTGATTTTCAGTTAAATATATTTTAATAACATTAGGTTTAACAAGTACCTAGGTTTGCTGCTACAAGGAAACTAATAAAGTGTGTTTTTGAGTAAAATATTGATAGCTTAGTACAAAATAAATAAATTTGCCAAGTTTGATCAAAATATATTCATAAACAAGCAAACTACAACATTTGACAATATTCTCCATAAGAATAACATGGGAATTTTAAACTTACAATTTTTTTAATTTTATCCGTTACTAATAATCGAACAAAAATACTTTTATATACTAAATTATTTGTTTTTTTAAGCTCTTTAAAAAGGTCTAAAGAGAAATTGGGAAATTTTGTGTTTTGAGGGTCAAAAGTGAGAAAAACCAATTTTTACCCCATAAAACCCCCCGTAAAGCCCCGTTCCCATGGTCCGATCGTGCTGGTTCGCGAACTCATTCAAGTTTATCCCGCTTTACACCTTTAAACCAAATTTCATCAAAATCGGACAAAAATTACTCAAGTTATCGCGTTCACGGACGTATATATATATAAGTCTATATATATATATATATACATATATAAAAATTTGAACGAATAGTGTTTTTGGCCTCTGGGGACATCAAAATGAAAAAGTAAATCGGTCCCGGGTCTAGGTCTTACCGTGCCACCTACGGTAATAGCTACTTCCCTATAGGGAAATTCGCTAAAAACAACACTACATTAAGAAACATAAAAGAAAATATGAAAGACATTTGTATACAAAAATGTTGTGTTTAGTGTGGGAAGCATATGCCAAATTTAAGGTCACGGCAATTAAGCAGATTGTGGGATCATAGAGCAAACCGGCAAACCACCTAGTAACTTAACAAACACCAACCAGTCTGTTTACGGAATCATGGAAATGTTTGCTTCCAACATCTAACTATTGTGTGGATATGTCCTTCGGGTGTACGGGAGGGGTAGCAATCATTTGAATTTTGACTTCTGTTTGTGAAATATTTTACAGGTGATGGTGAAAAATATGTAGAGTATAAAACGTAGTAGTTTAATGTGTGATATACCAATTACTGACCAACAAACTACTTAAGTAGAAGCGCTTACCTTAGGTTTAGACTTGACAAACGTGGCGGTAGATCCTGGACCCATCTTGGCGTTCGCTTTGCTCTTGTCCGCAGGGATGTTGGAGGCGGACTTTGATTTCTGGACAGGTTTTTCAGGTAAGTTGCCTCTCGTCTTCTCCAGAATGGCTTTTACAGGTCCTTGGGATCCAGGCTGTAAAAGTATTAGTTAAAATTTGCAGCGATCTTTGATGATTTTAGAAGAGAACAATGAAGTTTTGAAAGAGAAATAGTTTGTAACAAGTTGTTGAGTTGTTAGAGGTAGAATCAGAAGATGAACGTTGAATAAATGGGATGACAGATTTAATTAACACAAGTGATTGGCAAGATTCAAACATAGGAACTCGGGGAGTAAAGTCCTGCACCACTTTACCAGCTAGCTTTTCTCAGCTGTTTCTGATAATTTGTTAAAAGCCCAAAGATCTAGGTGATGTGGGTCCAGTTTCAAACCAACAGATTTTTACTTTCCTTGGAATTGAACAGGCAATCTTCTTACTACCAGGTGCGCACTACGTCCACTAAGCCATCCGACGATTACGACGGGAGATAGAATCAGAAGAGGTAAGATAGAATAAGATAAGGTAAGATAGATCAGTAATAGAATCATAGAATATAAATTAGGGGTGTGCGAATAGTGATTTTCAACCTCGAGCCGAGCCGAGCCGAGCTTTTTTAAAAAATGTTCGAGCTCGAGCTTTTTCGAGCCGAGCTTTTCCTAGCGTAACCTTATCTTAATTATTAAACTTTTTTTCTTAAAAAAGTGCATAATAATAATAATGTTCAGTCAATTTTTAAACAAACACAATGTTATTTTAATATGTTTAAAAACATTGAGAATTGTCAAGACATAAAATAGTAGATAATCACGATAAGAACTGAACTGAACTAAATGAAGATGCAAGAAATAAAAGGATATCGATTAAAGGCCTGAAGAGATATGCAGTGCAGACTGAGACAAAGACAATCAGATTGTCTTTCAAAACAGAACAGCAACGCGACCTTGAATGACGGCAAAACAACTAGCAAGTCGATTACATATGTATATTGTAACTAGGCTACTATGAATATTTAATTCTATTTTGTATAAATAAATACAAAATAAATTTAAAAACACGTGATTATTCTTGTTGTTTTCCATGCACAAAATATTTTTGTTTTATGAATCCTATTAATCAAAAAAGAACATGGTTGGTTTGGATCCAAAAAGGTGGAGAGACAAGTTTTACTTATATATTAAAAAATATATAATTGACATATAGAGGAAATAGACCAAAGCACTAGAACTAATAACCAAAGCACTAGAATTAATAGAATAACACACAAAGTAAACAAGAAATGAAATGCAGAACACGATGATTTAACACTGTCACTCAATTATGTTATCTAGAAGGGTCGGCGAACTAATCAATAAATAGCCAAAACCAGTTTCCTCCCCTTCACACAGTCTCACCGCCCCCCTACCCCCCAATCCGGGTGGCCCAACACTTTGTCCTTGAAACACCCTTGCGTCTGAAACAATAAACCCTTACACCCTCGTTGCTGTTTTGACAACAGGTTTATGAATGCGATCACTATTTTTCATTTCCAGAATTAACTATCAATTATTATTTATTTGCAAGATACAAATAGGAAACTACATCACATTATGGTATTCAATGACCCATGTACTATCAAAAATTAATAACTCATTACTTATTTTGATAATAAAAAGCATTCATTACAGCACGCGCCACTTATTGATATATATATATATATATATATATATATATATAATCCTCAAAGTAACTGTTACTTTATAAAAAATAAAATAGGTACAAAATTGTGTGGCCAGTCAAACTTTATAGGCCTAAACAAACATTTTATTCTATAAAATACAGATGGTAAATAGGGGTTGGTTTAAAGGAAATAAAATACAAAACATATTAATTAATTATTTTGATAAACATTAGAAAGGTTATGGGATTGATTGAACTAAAATAACCGCAGGGAAACTTATAAGTAGAAAAGTCATCAAACACAATCTGTTTAATCAGTACATTGTTAGAGAGAGAGAGAAAGAGAGATAGCAGATAAGGAAGTTTGATGATAAGGAGTTTGATAAGGAATCTGAAAAAGTAAACAAACAAGGAACAACGACACGATGATTACAGCCTTATTGTCTCGCCCACTACATTTGCACACGTGACCACTTTTTGTTTCTTCCTTATCTTTCATCCGTCCCAAAATAGAATTCCTGAAATGGTTTGTTGGTATAATCTCCCCTCCCACACAAGGCGCAGTGCTCAGTGCGCACTGTAGGTTGCCACGGCAACCGTGTGTCGTCATAGCGACTTAGCCAATCACGCACTCGCACTGCGTTGCATATTACGATACGAATAGTTGTGTTAGAAAGACAACGCGATAGGTGGTAGTTTCCTCAAAATTACGATCGATAATCATTGCGTCTTGACTGAGCTGAGGTTCGTGCTTATCAAGACACAATTATGAAACGGAGGAGAGTAAATTTAAATGAAAGTTAGTTCCTTATTTATTAATTTAATTTTTATTTGCTACAGTAGTTCAATAAGTATTCGGCTCGAACATTTCGAACTTTTTGAAAATCACGAGCCGAGCCGAATAGCGTCCTATTCGGCTCGAAAAAGCTCGATGTTCGAATACTCGCACACCCCTAATATAAATCAAAATTACAATCAGTATGCTTGTGAACCATCCGTTAAAATTTGATTATATATATAACAACTTATTCAAATATAATTTTGGGCAAACAAATTTTATACATCTTCTCTCAAGCTATCAAGATTGAAGCCATTGTTCACCTTTGAATTACAATTAGTGAAGTAATTTTTCACCTTGAGTTTGTCACAAGCGTTGGACAACGGCCCATAGCCAGTGTGCATCATCACTCCTAGCACAGCCTCAGCCGCGTTCTTGCGTACGTCTGCGTTGCGGTCCTCCAGGTTGTTCAACAACACGGGTATACACGCTGTCATCTCCTCCTTCGGCACTGACTTGACTGTAACAATCACACTATCTGAGAACTCTTGAATGGTTAAATGTTTAAACTTTACTGATTTATGACATTCCCGGTTCTTTGTATTTCAACAAAACTCTGTTGTCACCTTACAAAAACCGTTGGTTAATTACCATCGAACATTGCAGTTCACACAAAAATTGAACCAGCTAACACACAACTCTCTAACCTCTAACCCTACTTAAGCTAAAACTCTGAACGTAAAACATTCACTGATCAGCATAAAAATATCATGTGGTTGACTATTAGAAGTTTTGAAATTACATGGACTTTAAGGAAATCTAGAACCCATATGGGACTTGCTCGGGAGATGGGGTATGTAAAAAAATGTAGACACCGTAATTATGTGCCACATCTACCCAATACAAGCAAAACCAATCTTCTGGAAATAAAAAGAATTTTCCAACCTTTCTGTTTATACAAACTAACCACTATGTTTTTTTCAGGTTGAAATTTGATAACTATCTATAAATCCGGTTTAGGGGTCGGTTAGTTTAGGTTTTTTTTATCACATTCCCGAGCAACAGCCAAAAAGTTTGTGTTAACTTGCTATTAACGAAACACTGCTACTGGACCAACGTGGAACACCAGGGTCAAAGCTTGCCTCATATCAAAAACCAATAAAATAGCTAGGTAGGTAAATGAAGGCACTAATAGCTTGGAAAATCCCAACAATCACTTGGTAGTACTATTTAAATAAATATATAGGATGGAGAGGACACAGCTAACTCACCTGATGAAAGGTTGCAGACGAGTCAAAGAACACATAAAACATACACATATAATACTTGATATTTCGCCTCTTTCAGAGGCTTCTTCAGAAGTAGGCCTAGATGGTAGTTACAAGAACAACAGTTTAAAATAGGATGACACAGTTTATACATGCAGTTTATGCATAACCTGTGTCATCCTATTTCAAACTGTTGTTCTTGTAACTACCATCTAGGCCTACTTCTGAAGAAGCCTCTGAAAGAGGCGAAATATCAAGTATTGTATGTAGTGATGTGGGCCGGGTAAATACCCAGTGGGTAGGTAAATATAAATTGGGTATTTACCTGGGTATTTACCCCAGGCCCGGGTAAATACCCAAAAACTGGGTATTTATAATTTGTATTAAAGTTAGAGAAGATTGAGATGTTTTTTTGCAATTATTACCTTGTAAGAAAAGCAAAATGATAATAAAATGTGTTAAACAAAATTTCATTTGGTCACTACTAGCATTTTACTTCTCGGTATGATCGCCATAAATACCCAGGTCTGAGCATAAAGCATAATCAGCATAAATACCCTGGTCGCATGGTTGCACTGGTCCTGACTAGGGACTTATGATTTTTTAAATTTCTATGATAGATAGATGAATTTATTTTATTAAAAGTGAAGAAAAATAATTTGTAAAATAATACCGGTAATTATTATTTAGAAAGACACAAAAATTTAACCTAGTAGTGGCCTATGTGTAAACAACTTAAGAAAATAATTAAAATTCAAACTGTAGGATGACAGGATTTAATAATATTTTTGTTCTAGAACTTTTGTTTGTATAAAAAAAAAACTAATTTCATAAACTTGTGAAAAAAATTTGAATCTATAGCACAAAATTAATATCTAATACATATATATTATTAATTAGAATCTTTCAAAATTATATTATAAGTTAAGCAAAAAAACAGGAGATACATTTTTTAGTAGGTTTATCCAAATATATTATTGTTCCCAACTAAGCGGTAACACAGAAAAGTTTAATGTAGACTCCCTCTTAGCCAGACACCTTTTAACCGGACAATTTTTATCAGCCCATTGGTTTAACCTATCTAGATTGGCAAGAAGTGAGCGGTACTGAAACGACTGTTCTCGTGGGAAAGATTTGAGATCAGTGATCATGTATCTAAATGTAAATACAATGCTCTCCTAAATTAAAGTCGAATATGACAGTACCGGTCCACGGTTTCCGTTTTAACAAGTTTTTGGGGTTGTCGGTTTAACCAGAAAAACCATTATCTGGACTAGCCTCGGTCCGGATAAGACGGAGTCTACTGTACTTTCAGTATTCTGCCATTCTGCCTACCGGTATATCAATCAGGCCTTGGGTCTGTCTAGCCTTCCAAGCCATTTACACAATACAAATTTCAACTATCATAATTTAATAACAGTAGAATTAGGTTTAGGTTCACTATTTCTCTGATGAGGTGTTGTCTTGATTTCATAAAAAAAGTGCTAAATCATTAAATAAAAGGTACTAGCAAAGCTTCAAGTTACTGTAAAAGGTGTAGACTATCCTAATTTATCATGTAATGATAACAATAACATATTTAGGGGTAGATAAAAATGAATTTCAATCGATTTCATAAATACCCAAAATACCCGGGTATTTATGGATTTTGGGTATTTACCCGGGTAAATACCCAGGGTATTTACCCCGAGTTTTAAATACCTGGGTATTTTACATCACTAATTGTATGTGTGTGTTTTATGTGTTCTTTGACTCGTCTGCAACCTTTCATCAGGTGAGTTAGCTGTGTCCTCTCCATCCTATATATTTATTTAATCCAAGCTAAATGCTTTTTCCTAAAAACATAGCCTAGGTAGTACTATTTGTAATGTTGTCATAATCGGGATCATGTATTGTTACAAATTATAATAGTGGTCGACGTATGACAGAAAAAGTCCAAATGATCAAATTGAAACTCACTGTTGGGAAGCTTCTCGGCGAGCCAGCCCCACAATTCACTTCTCAGTGCCGGTGAACCGGATTTGAGGGCATCAGCGATCATCTCTCCGTCAAACAGCTCCCTGTAGCCGCACTGGTCTCCCCACGTGTTGACACAAGATATGGCTGCGGTTCTGATCCACGTCTGCCAACACGACAGAACAGATTTACCAGATTAGTCATTGACAGTCGAAGAAATTATTTAAGTAGACTGTATTCAATTAGATGATGGATTTGGTTATAGGATGTGTGACTCGAAACTTGGCTACCTTCCATTGGACTGAAGACAGACATGATTCAACTTCAATATATTATAAATTCTCAGTCTTGGTGGCAAACATTTTTATTCAATCTTAGTGATCAAGGAAAGATTCTTGCCTGATATTAAAATTTTTAGAATGAAGGCATAGTAGCGATCTCACCTCAGTAGAATACAAAGATGACACATAAAACAAACAACATTTCATCATCTGGGGGACTTTTTCAAGTAGACAAAGAGACTAACAGCTAATCACCAGTAAGTTGAGCAAAGTGAAACTAAGACCAGGGTCCGTCCATGAATTTATTTCAATCCATGATTGAACTAACACATTTTATTGAGGTTATGTATTAATCTTAACGAATACAAAATTGCCTTTGTTAATATTCAAAATATTATGTAGACTTGTTTTAGGCTACAGACTAATCAGAATCGGTCAGCTGTTGTGTTTACTCGGCTCGGAAACGGCGGGTCGTGGATCCTAGTCTCACTTTACTCAACCTATTGTTGATTAGCTCCTGGTGACAAAGCAATGGATAATTCTGTCTTTGTCTACACTTAGGAAACCTTCCTGGGGAAAAATATTGTGTTTTTGTCTTTTGCATGTTCCATGTCCTAACTGTACTTCTTTCAGGGCAGCTACAAACAAATTCAATTTTAGATTTTTACAATATTTTCTTGAGACTCAAGATTGAAAACATATACCTAAAAAACTGTACATTTTCAGCTATCATAACAGTTTACCTTGGTGTCGCCCATGCCGACGAGGAAGTTTGGCAGGAACGCTCGTATGTGTTGTCTACAGTCCGGCCCCATGGCTACAGCAATGCTCTGACACAGCGCGATGGCTGCTGCAGCTATCTTGGTGTTGGAGTCTACCAGTCTAGCGGCCAACACTGGTGGACACTCCCCTAGACTGGGGTAGATCAGCTTGCTGTCTGTCACCATGTTCTGCATCTTCTGTACTGCCTCTGCTCTCACCTACAACCAGACACACTTGTAATGTAACAGCAATGCTCTGACACAGTGCGATGGCTGCTGCAGCTATCTTGGTGTTGGAGTCTACCAGTCTAGCGGCCAACACTGGTGGACACTCCCCTAGACTGGGGTAGATCAGCTTGCTGTCTGTCACCATGTTCTGCATCTTCTGTACTGCCTCAGCTCTCACCTACACAACCAGACACACATGTAATGTAACAGCAATGCTCTGACACAGTGTGATGGCTGCTGCGGCTATCTTAGTGTTGGAGTCTACTAGTCTAGCGGCCAACACTGGTGGACACTCCCCTAGACTGGGGTAGATCAGCTTGCTGTCTGTCACCATGTTCTGCATCTTCTGTACTGCCTCTGCTCTCACCTACACAACCAGACACACATGTAATGTAACAGCAATGCTCTGACACAGTGTGATGGCTGCTGCGGCTATCTTGGTGTTGGAGTCTACCAGTCAAGCGGCCAACACTGGTGGACACTCCCCTAGACTGGGGTAGATCAGCTTGCTGTCTGTCACCATGTTCTGCATCTTCTGTACTGCCTCTGCTCTCACCTACACAGCCAGTCACACTTGTAATGTAACAGCAATGCTCTGACACAGTGTGATGGCTGCTGCTGCTGCTATCTTGGTGTTGGAGTCTACTAGTCTAGCGGCCAACACTGGTGGACACTCTCCTAGACTGGGGTAGATCAGCTTGCTGTCTGTCACCATGTTCTGCATCTTCTGTACTGCCTCTGCTCTCACCTACACAACCAGACACACTTGTAATGTAACAGCAATGCTCTGACACAGTGCGATGGCTGCTGCGGCTATCTTGGTGTTGGAGTCTACTAGTCTAGCGGCCAACACTGGTGGACACTCTCCTAGACTGGGGTAGATCAGCTTGCTGTCTGTCACCATGTTCTGCATCTTCTGTACTGCCTCTGCTCTCACCTACACAACCAGACACACATGTAATGTAACAGCAATGCTCTGACACAGTGTGATGGCTGCTGCGGCTATCTTGGTGTTGGAGTCTACTAGTCTAGCGGCCAACACTGGTGGACACTCCCCTAGACTGGGGTAGATCAGCTTGCTGTCTGTCACCATGTTCTGCATCTTCTGTACTGCCTCTGCTCTCACCTACACAACCAGACACACATGTAATGTAACAGCAATGCTCTGACACAGTGTGATGGCTGCTGCGGCTATCTTGGTGTTGGAGTCTACTAGTCTAGCTGCCAACACTGGTGGACACTCCCCTAGACTGGGGTAGATCAGCTTGCTGTCTGTCACCATGTTCTGCATCTTCTGTACTGCCTCTGCTCTCACCTACACAACCAGACACACATGTAATGTAACAGCAATGCTCTGACACAGTGTGATGGCTGCTGCGGCTATCTTGGTGTTGGAGTCTACTAGTCTAGCTGCCAACACTGGTGGACACTCCCCTAGACTGGGGTAGATCAGCTTGCTGTCTGTCACCATGTTCTGCATCTTCTGTACTGCCTCAGCTCTCACCTACACAACCAGACATACATGTAATGTAACAGCAATGCTCTGACACAGTGCGATGGCTGCTGCAGCTATCTTGGTGTTGGAGTCTACCAGTCTAGCGGCCAACACTGGTGGACACTCCCCTAGACTGGGGTAGATCAGCTTGCTCTCTGTCACCATGTTCTGCATCTTCTGTACTGCCTCAGCTCTCACCTACACAACCAGACATACATGTAATGTAACAGCAATGCTCTGACACAGTGCGATGGCTGCTGCAGCTATCTTGGTGTTGGAGTCTACCAGTCTAGCGGCCAACACTGGTGGACACTCCCCTAGACTGGGGTAGATCAGCTTGCTGTCTGTCACCATGTTCTGCATCTTCTGTACTGCCTCTGCTCTCACCTACACAGCCAGTCACACTTGTAATGTAACAGCAATGCTCTGACACAGTGTGATGGCTGCTGCTGCTATCTTGGTGTTGGAGTCTACTAGTCTAGCGGCCAACACTGGTGGACACTCTCCTAGACTGGGGTAGATCAGCATGCTGTCTGTCACCATGTTCTGCATCTTCTGTACTGCCTCTGCTCTCACCTACACAACCAGACACACATGTAATGTAACAGCAATGCTCTGACACAGTGCGATGGCTGCTGCAGCTATCTTGGTGTTGGAGTCTACCAGTCTAGCTGCCAACACTGGTGGACACTCTCCTAGACTAGGGTAGATCAGCTTGCTGTCTGTCACCATGTTCTGCATCTTCTGTACTGCCTCTGCTCTCACCTACACAACCAGACACACATGTAATGTAACAGCAATGCTCTGACACAGCGCGATGGCTGCTGCAGCTATCTTGGTGTTGGAGTCTACCAGTCTAGCGGCCAACACTGGTGGACACTCTCCTAGACTGGGGTAGATCAGCTTGCTGTCTGTCACCATGTTCTGCATCTTCTGTACTGCCTCTGCTCTCACCTACACAACCAGACACACATGTAATGTAACAGCAATGCTCTGACACAGCGCGATGGCTGCTGCAGCTATCTTGGTGTTGGAGTCTACCAGTCTAGCGGCCAACACTGGTGGACACTCTCCTAGACTGGGGTAGATCAGCTTGCTCTCTGTCACCATGTTCTGCATCTTCTGTACTGCCTCTGCTCTCACCTACACAACCAGACACACATGTAATGTAACAGCAATGCTCTGACACAGTGTGATGGCTGCTGCAGCTATCTTGGTGTTGGAGTCTACCAGTCTAGCTGCCAACACTGGTGGACACTCCCCTAGACTGGGGTAGATCAGCTTGCTCTCTGTCACCATGTTCTGCATCTTCTGTACTGCCTCTGCTCTCACCTACACAACCAGACACACATGTAATGTAACAGCAATGCTCTGACACAGTGCGATGGCTGCTGCAGCTATCTTGGTGTTGGAGTCTACCAGTCTAGCTGCCAACACTGGTGGACACTCTCCTAGACTGGGGTAGATCAGCTTGCTGTCTGTCACCATGTTCTGCATCTTCTGTACTGCCTCTGCTCTCACCTACACAACCAGACACACATGTAATGTAACAGCAATGCTCTGACACAGCGCGATGGCTGCTGCAGCTATCTTGGTGTTGGAGTCTACCAGTCTAGCGGCCAACACTGGTGGACACTCTCCTAGACTGGGGTAGATCAGCTTGCTCTCTGTCACCATGTTCTGCATCTTCTGTACTGCCTCTGCTCTCACCTACAGAACCAGACACACATGTAATGTAACAGCAATGCTCTGACACAGTGTGATGGCTGCTGCGGCTATCTTGGTGTTGGAGTCTACTAGTCTAGCGGCCAACACTGGTGGACACTCCCCTAGACTGGGGTAGATCAGCTTGCTGTCTGTCACCATGTTCTGCATCTTATGTACTGCCTCAGCTCTCACCTACACAACCAGACACACTTGTAATGTAACAGCAATGCTCTGACACAGTGCGATGGCTGCTGCGGCTATCTTGGTGTTGGAGTCTACTAGTCTAGCGGCCAACACTGGTGGACACTCTCCTAGACTGGGGTAGATCAGCTTGCTGTCTGTCACCATGTTCTGCATCTTCTGTACTGCCTCAGCTCTCACCTACACAACCAGACACACTTGTAATGTAACAGCAATGCTCTGACATAGTGCGATGGCTGCTGCTGCTATTTTGGTGTTGGAGTCTACTAGTCTAGCGGCCAACACTGGTGGACACTCTCCTAGACTGGGGTAGATCAGCTTGCTCTCTGTCACCATGTTCTGCATCTTCTGTACTGCCTCAGCTCTCACCTACACAACCAGACACACATGTAATGTAACAGCAATGCTCTGACACAGTGTGATGGCTGCTGCAGCTATCTTGGTGTTGGAGTCTACCAGTCTAGCTGCCAACACTGGTGGACACTCTCCTAGACTGGGGTAGATCAGCTTGCTCTCTGTCACCATGTTCTGCATCTTCTGTACTGCCTCAGCTCTCACCTACACAACCAGACACACATGTAATGTAACAGCAATGCCCTGACACAGTGTGATGGCTGCTGCAGCTATCTTGGTGTTGGAGTCTACCAGTCTAGCGGCCAACACTGGTGGACACTCTCCTAGACTGGGGTAGATCAGCTTGCTGTCTGTCACCATGTTCTGCATCTTCTGTACTGCCTCTGCTCTCACCTACACAACCAGACACACATGTAATGTAACAGCAATGCTCTGACACAGTGTGATGGCTGCTGCGGCTATCTTGGTGTTGGAGTCTACCAGTCTAGCGGCTAACACTGGTGGACACTCTCCTAGACTGGGGTAGATCAGCTTGCTGTCTGTCACCATGTTCTGCATCTTCTGTACTGCCTCAGCTCTCACCTACACAACCAGACACACATGTAATGTAACAGCAATGCCCTGACACAGTGTGATGGCTGCTGCAGCTATCTTGGTGTTGGAGTCTACTAGTCTAGCGGCCAACACTGGTGGACACTCTCCTAGACTGGGGTAGATCAGCTTGCTGTCTGTCACCATGTTCTGCATCTTCTGTACTGCCTCTGCTCTCACCTACACAACCAGACACACATGTAATGTAACAGCAATGCTCTGACACAGTGTGATGGCTGCTGCGGCTATCTTGGTGTTGGAGTCTACCAGTCTAGCGGCCAACACTGGTGGACACTCTCCTAGACTGGGGTAGATCAGCTTGCTCTCTGTCACCATGTTCTGCATCTTCTGTACTGCCTCAGCTCTCACCTACACAACCAGACACACATGTAATGTAACAGCAATGCCCTGACACAGTGTGATGGCTGCTGCAGCTATCTTGGTGTTGGAGTCTACCAGTCTAGCGGCCAACACTGGTGGACACTCTCCTAGACTGGGGTAGATCAGCTTGCTGTCTGTCACCATGTTCTGCATCTTCTGTACTGCCTCTGCTCTCACCTACACAACCAGACACACATGTAATGTAACAGCAATGCTCTGACACAGTGTGATGGCTGCTGCGGCTATCTTGGTGTT